CGGGCCTCTCACCGTTGTGGCCTCTCCCGCTGCGGAGCACAGGCTACAGATGCGCAGGCTCAGCGGCCATGGCTCACGGGCCCAGCCGCTCCGCGGTATGTGGGATCTTCCCGGACCAGGGCACGAACCCGTGTCCCTTTCATCAGCAGGTGGACTCTCAACCACTGCACCACCAGGGAAGCCCTGACTATTACTTTCAATACTATTTTGAAGAGAAGTGGCAAAGGCAGGCATCCTTATCTTGTTCTTGATCTTAATGGAAAAACTTTCAGGCTTTCATATTTAGAATGATGTTAGATATGGGTTTTAATATATGGCCTCTATTATGTAGAGGTAATTTCCTTCTATTCTGAGTTAGAGTGTGATGAAAGGATTTTGAATTTTGTCTAATGCTTAAACTGATTTAATCTCCTTCTTAGTTATAGGTCTATCATATTTTCTGTGTCTTTGTGATTCCACCTTGGTAGCTTTTGAGTTTCTAGGAATTTGTCTATTTCATCGAAGTTATGCAACTTGTTGGCATATAATTATTCATAATACTCTTGTAATTCTTATTATTTCTTGAGAATTGGTAGTTATGTTCCCACTTTCATTTCTGATTTTAGTAATCTGAATCTTCCCTTTTTTTCTCGAGCATTCTAGTTAAAGGTTTGTCAATTTTGTCAATCTTTTTTGAAGAACCAATTTTTGTTTTTACCGATTTTCTTTATTATCTGTCTATTCTCTGTTTATCTCCGCTCTAATTGTTATTATTTCCTTCCTTCTGCTAGCTCATGGTTTGGTTTATTCTTCTTTTGCTAGTTCCTTAAGTTGTCAAGTTCAGTTGCTGATTTGAGATCTTTCTTTTTTTTTTTCAATGTAAGCATTAACAGTTATAAACTTCTTGCACAAGATTATTAACTACTCTGAGCCTCAGATTCCTCAGCTGAAAATTGCAGTAAAAGCACCTGCTTCATGGCATTATTTCAAAGATTTAATGTACGATTAAATTAAACTCTTGGTAAAACGCCACACACAGAGGAAAACGTTCCATAACTGTTAGATGCTATTACTACTACTATTACCATTAGGCTCTATAAAATCAGGTACTCCTACAGTCAAGGACTACCTGACTCTAGATCCACCTGTTAGCTATATGACAATGGGCACGTTTTTTCACCACTGGAAGCCTCAAGTTTTTCACCTATGAAATGGAAATAATGTCGATCTGGCAGGGTTACATGAATCAAATGAGATATATGTAAAGTATATAGCCCACGCACCTAGAGCCCATGCTCTGCAACAAGAGAAGCCACCGCAGTGAGAAGCCTGTGCACCGCAACGAAGAGTAGCCCCCGCTCGCCGCAGCTACAGAACGCCCACGCGCAGCAACGAAGACCCAACATGGCCAAAAATAAAATAAGTAAAATAAATGAATTTATTTTTTTAAATGGATAACCAACAAGGACCTACTGTATAGCACAGGGAACTCTGCTCAATGTCATGTGGCAGGCTGGATGGGAGGGGAGTTTGGGGGAGAATGAATACGTGTATATGTATGGCTGAGCCCCTTTCCTGTTCACCTGAAACTATCACAAATTTTTAATTGGCTATACTCCAATATAAAATAAAAAGTAAAAAAAAAAAAAGAAAATTTATTCCTTGAAGGAACAAGTAGAGCCTACTTCACGTTGGCAGTTGTTTCGCAGAGCACCTCCCACTGTAAAATAATGTCACCTTCATTCATTCTTCTCTGTTCTTTCCATGACAGATGATTCAACACAAGGAAGTTCTTCTGGCCTCTCAGGTGGTGCTATTGCCGGCATCGTGATTGGAGTCCTGGCTGGCGTAGGTCTGATAGAACCCCGGTGTATTTCCTGTATATGAGATAGACTGAAGGGTATGATGCCTTCCCTCTTGTTCTGCTTTCTCTGAGGCTAATCGTCATGCTCGGGAGAGGGAAGGAGCCTTCATCTTCTGTCTCTGGCCTGGATCTGCTCCTCATGCTTCCTAAAGCCCTGCTTCTTGGCACTAATTCTTATGGGTCTCTTCTTCCCTGGTCTTCACGCTTCCTGTGCCCTACTCTGTCTTGGACATGGTTATTCCCAACCCCATCTGGTTTAGAGGGAGCAGAGCCCATTATGTTCCTCTGTCCCCAGTCAGGGAAGCCAAGGTCCAAGGAGGAAAACTAATGAGGAAATGAAAGAAGCAGGAGGAAGGGAGGCCTGCACTCTGTCAACAACAGGAGCAGGAGGAGGGAGGGACAGGACAGGAAGAGAACCTAAGAAAAGAAGAAACAACCAAAGGCCTCCTGGGCAATAAATAAAGTGACAAAGAAACAGCATCTACCTACAAAAGGGGAAAGGGGTCAGGGTAGAAAAAAGCTCAGAAGCAGTTGGCATGAATGGCCCCAAATGTGAACAGCCAGTAAGCAGGAGAGGAGGAAACACCAGAAGGGATGACAGGTAGATTGAAGGAGGTCCTCAGAGGAAAGAGGACCAACCAAGGTATAAATGAACATTGAGGAGCCCCAAGGAGTCATGCTGACAGTGTCCTTCCTAATTCAAGGAGCAAAGGTCTGTGCCTGGGAATAGCAGTCACAGTGTCTGATATTTATTTAGGGCAAGTGACCAGCGCAATCTCACAGAGCACAAATCCTCAGACCACAACCAGAGTAAGTAAACCTGCTCACCTAGCGAGAGCTCGTATGTTCTACTATATACCCTGCCCTACCAGGGAATCCCGGATTTCCAAGTGAATCCCTACCTTCTGAATTATTAGAGGGGATCTCAGTTTCCCAATCTTAAACTGGCATAGGTCCTCACACCCTTCCTGCTGCAAAAGATTCCCCTGAGACACAGCTGGGGGAGAGACACTCGCGCCTCCTAGGCCAGGCAAGCCAAGCAGGCCATGAGATAGACATGTTTCCAGGAGCCTTTTCCTCATCCTACCTCCTTCCCCCTCCTGCCTCTATTACGGATGCGGGCATCTCCTTTGGTGAGACTTTCCCTGCCTTTGGTGCTCTGGGTACTGTGGGCCTCAATGCCCCTCCTTGCCGCTGGAGTCTGCTGCTGAGACACACACCTGGGCAAAACTTGGGCCTTCTGAACTGGAAGAAATCTTCGGAAGTGCACTGAAACCTCTCCCCACCCCTCCTTGGTCTAATGCCCTGGGGTCTGGACCGCAGACTGAGGGAAGCGAATTCCTTAAGTCTTAACCATGGGCCACCCCTCCAACCCACCCTCTCACCACCTGCCACCTCCTTCAGCTAGAAGCACAACAGCTTAGGAACACCACGTTCTGAGGCCATAAGTCAGCTCTGCATTTTCATGGGTTGGTAACTCTCCTTTTGCTTCCCCAGGTCAGGGCTACTCTGACAATTCACCCAACAAGCCATTTTCATTGGCTCTTTTTCTCATGAAAATATCTCTGTGTAGAATGGGTTATTCTTGAAGACACAAATGGGAGATCAAGTTTGGATCAAAGTTCCTTAGTGCAACAACAAACAAAGAAGTATTGGTTAATCACTCCCATGGGTCTAATTCATGCAAGAATGTTGACTTTAGAATTTTTCCCATCCTGTATTTCAATCCTGGCTGTGACCTTGAACAAGTAACTTAACCTCGTTGATCCTCAGCTTTGCCCTCTGTAAAATGGGCATGCTGCCTACTTCAAAGAGAAGGTCAAAGAATTAAATGACCGAAATGTAAAGCCCTCATCACAATGCCCAGCTCAAGGAAGGCACTAGATCATTCTCCTTCCTCTGCCTCCAATCTGATCCTGCCCTTACTGTCAAATGATCATTTCCATTCTAATGGGTCTAAGGCCTTAGTTCCTTTACTATTAATAAATTTTACTGAATATTCTCATCTTAACCTTCAATAGAATATACATACATACTGAAAAGTGCTTAAACCATATTTTAACAATCTGAACAACCCATGTAAGCAGCACTGAAATCGATAAATAAAACATGTCATTCCTCCCCCTAAAAAAAAGACCTCCAGTTACTTCCCTTCAAAGAGTAACCACTATCCTCACTTCTGGATTAGTTTGCCTGATTACGCTCTTACATAAAGGAAAAACACAGTATGTCCTTACATGTATCTGGCTTCTTTCATTCAAAATTGTTTTGTAAGATTCATCCATCTCATTGTATGCCCTTGTGCTTAAGTTATTCTCATCGCTGTATCATCGTATTTCATTGTAGCATTCCATAATCTATCTCTCCCAATGATCATTCAACAGGATGTTAGTAAGCAGAGAAAATGGGTAATAAAAGCCCTTCTCTGAAGCTAAAAGTTTCAAAGTGGTGAAAGCATGTGGTGCTGAATCACACTGGACAAAGTGAGGGCCTGGCCTACGACACTGATTTAATTGACTGCTGTTCATTCCTTTCAGATCGACAAAGGTGCGTATTCTGCCCTGAACTTCAATGCCCAGGAATCAAAGAAACCAACTTCAGCCTCCCATCCCCAACAGCCACAGAAGTGGTTTATTGAGAAGTTAAAAAAAAAAAAAAAAGAAGAAGAAGAAATAGTGTGTTCCCTGCATTACTGACTTATTCCAAGTTTCTCATCCCCATCGCTAGGAGATTCTTTCACCGTTAGGGAAAATGGGAAGTGTGTCTCTCCCCCACGCACCTCCCTAATGACGCACATCCTGGCTGCCGGATCACAGCCCCTTCCTTCAGTGTCAGTAGATGAAAAGGTACATCCAGGAGGAGGTCTGGAGGAAACCTAACCTTCCTTGTCATTGAACTTTGGCAAAGCAGACCTTGGGAGAGAGTTGCCAGAACGTCCACCCCTCCCATTTGCTGACCTAGACCAGTTTTATTTATTTATTTATTTATTATAAATTTATTTGTTTTTAATTTTTGGCTGTGTTGGGTCTTCATTGCTGTGCACCGGCTTTCTCTAGTTGCAGCGAGCGGGGGCTACTCTTCTCGTTGTGGTGCACGGGCTTCTCATTGCGGTGGCTTCTCTTGTTGCGGAGCACGGGCTCTAGGCGTGTGGGCCTCAGTAGCTGTGGTGCGCGGGCTCTAGAGCGCAAGCTCAGTAGTTGTGGTGCATGGGCTTTGTTGCTCCGCGTCATGTGGGATCTTCCCGGACCAGGGCTCGAACCCGTGTCCCCTGCATTGGCAGGCGGATTCTTAACCACTACGCCACCAGGGAAGCCCTAGACCAGTTTTAAACTTGCGTATTCAGAGCACACTCATTCCTTCCCACCTCAGTCCTGTCCTATTGGAGTCTAACTTGAATTTGCCATAACCTTGAGAGTTATGTCCTTATGCACTGAAATGCATGTGCCAGAAAAGAAGAGTGAGAAACAGAAAAAGGAAAAGCTTCTCCTAGCTCTTCAAAGTCCAGGATAAATCCACAGGAAAATACATATATAACCAATTTAGGACTGCGAATTCTACACCTTTGTCTACTGTCAGGATCGTCTACCTGCAGGATCAAGGCCTAAACACCTTGCTGCTTACCTAGAACACCACCTAGGCCCTTTGGAAAACTCTTCTTCAGAGAACCTACTAGAAGAAACTAAAAAACTACTTGTCTAGGTCCATAAGTAATTCCTAATAAAAAATGCAAAAAATGCAGGTACGTTTAAATAAACTTACGGGCTTTACTCCAGGAAGTGCCCACAGAGGAAGAAGGTTATTGCTTTAGGGGTAAGTTGGCTCTTAACACATAGAATCTGCTGGGACTTGGGAAAGGAATCAGAAAGCTACCCTTCAGAGATGATCTAAATAATTGCTAAAGAATGCACAGTTTGTGGTACTGAGTTTTTCCCCTTCCTTCTGAGACATTCTGCAATTTTAATTGTTGTAACTCCTTTCTATGTGAAAGGGGTTATGTTTACTTAATTTGCTGTGTAAGCCAATCTGACTGCCTTAGGGGAAAGAAGCCACCAAAACCCCTCAAGTGCCTCTGGCCAGGAGCTCCTCAAGCCTTTTATGTCAGGGGCTCCAAAAAGAAGATAAGGATCAGTTTTCTACATTCATGGCCAGAAAGGGATCTCAGTTTCTAGGCACCTCAGACCAACCATCAGCACCATTCTATTCCGGTTTCTGCCTGTGCACGTTCCATCTGCCCCACTCACCTTCTCAGGAAACCTTGGCCTCTGCTAAGGTGCGTTTGGTTCTTGAGAAGCAGGAGCACCTGAAGGGGACACAACCACCCACGCAGCTGGCATCGTTTACAACCTAGAAAGCTGCACTGGTGCTGATGCTCCTTAGGACACAAGGGGAGGATTATAGCTCAGCTCTTGGCTTCGTGAAAGCCTCTGAAATTTGTTTCCTCCCACGGGGTCTATGAGACCCAATGTGTCAGCATAAAAAGGACGGGCAGGAGAAGGAGAGGCACGTCTAATTCCCACCCAGCCTCCTTCTGCATGGATGGAACCTCCTTGAGGCTGTTGAGAGAAAGGTTTTATTCCATGTTCATTACTTGATCTAATGCTGTGTGGAACTGGCCCCCTCAAAGAGGGTTGGTTGGGAGTTCTCTGTACTCAGGTACCTCTTTCAGGGTTTTTTGACCCTGACACAGACTGTATATCCCTCTCCTCATCCACGCTCTTCTGTGTAATTTAATTTTGCCTGGCTAAGGCCGCTTCTGAATTATTTGTAAAATTTGCTCTATATTTATAATAAAACTTATGTATCAGGCATCAACATGCTGCCTCACAGTTGGTACTATTTTCTACAATGTTTTCTTTACAGGCAGAAGAAACAGAAATTGCTTAATAGGGAGTCAGCGTGAGCCTATTTCTAAGTCCACGTGGTATCTGATCTAGTGATCAGAGAATTCGCTAAATTCATTTGCACACCTGCTGACAAAGTGAGTCTATCTAGGGCAACAAGCCACAGCTCCAACCTGCCTGGA